GTGTTTAATAGGTTAATTCCCTGTGGGATTCGACTCCGGACTTATAAATCAGATTATATTTGCAGCGACCGCTAAGTCCTTTTTATAAGGCATAGTTGGTCGTGATCAGTTACGCCCACTAATCCACCTGGATCCCAAATTAACCTGGCCCAATTATTTGTTCTCAGCCCAATAGCTCTTCTCAGCCCAATAGCTATTTGTATGGCATTGGGCTGGGCTGATTCAAAAAAGACATGGTGCCCTTAACTTCATGAATGTTGTGTAAATATTAAGAATAAATTGTCCTGTATTTGCACCTTCCGCTGTTAAACTTTAGGACATCATGTCCTTAACTTCATATGTGCAGTGTTAATATTAAGGACATGGCGTCCTTAACTTCATGTGTGCAGTATAAATGTTAAAGACACCATGTCCTTAGTATTTACACAGCGCTCATGAAGAAAGGATAAAAACGTCTTTTCGTATTAATTTTATCAGAGTAGTGATTATTTTTGCTCAGCATTAAAAATACTGAATGAAAACTAATATTATATTAAAAAGTAGTTATCCCACGCCATTTCTAGGGAAATTTTCGTATATATACCATATATGAAACTATATTACCAAATATGTTCATAGTTTGCATATTACATTCATGCTAATAGTATTTCTACATAATATATACAATGCATTAAATAAGGAATCACTGTAGCTTTATGATTCCTTATTTAGGCGCGGTAAAAATGGGGAATTAAATATTCTTCCAGATCTTCCACAACGCAAATCACGCACATTAATCTTCTTCGTCAGTTTCATTTCAAATTTAGCGTCTCTGCTTTTTCGATACACTGTGTTTCAAACCTTTTTTCTGATTTCACAAATAAAAAACGACTAAATCTTCTACAATTCTTCTACATCAAACGTAATTATGTCCAAATTTCAGTAATACAAAGCAAAGGAAAAGAGAGTAGCAATTCCACCATTGACAACCATTAAAAAGCTTTGAAGCTTTGAATTGAAATTTGGGTTTTCAAAAATCATTATTTGTTTGGATTGGGTGTTGTTGCAAATAATTCGGAATATGGTTTGGAGTTTATATCTCAATTTTGAGGGGTTTTGGTGAAGATTAGACTTGGTTTTGGCTGAATTTCGGATTGAAACTCGAAGAAGAAGAAGAAGAAGACATGACATACATTATATTGCAGAAATTGTAGAAAAATTGTAGACTGTTGTTTTTTTATTTTTCTTTTATTCATTTACCTATTGTATGAAAGTTGAACAACATTGTATAAAAATTGTATTTAAGTGGATGATTTAGTACTGTTTGGACAAAATATGTATCAAAAATGTGAAACATACATTTCAGGGGAAGCATGTCGAGTCCAAATATGTACCCAGTTTGTAGATATTTTGTAGATAAATTTTAGATTATTTGTATTCTGATTGTAGATGCTTTATTTTCTGTTTTCACAAATAAAAAACGACTTAAACTTCTACAAATCTTCTGAAAAAATGCAATTATGTCAAAAATCCCAATTATGCTACAATTGAATGGGAATTGGGATATTAAAATTCAATGTACCCAGTTTGTAGATATTTTGTAGATAAATTGTAGATTATTTGTATTCTGATTGTAGATGCTTTGTTTTCTGTTTTCACAAATAAAAAACGACTAAAACTTCTACAAATCTTCTGCAAAAAACGCAATTATGTTGAAAATCCCAATTATGCTATAATTGAATGGGAATTGGGATATTACAATTTGATGTACCCAGTTTGTAGATAATTTGTAGAAATATTAAAATTCTGTATTTTCATATTAATTTTCAAATGATATGTAGTTTTGTTGTAGATTAAATGTAGAAAACAAGCCATTGTGAGTCTTATTTGACTCATTCCTCATATTCAACCTATTCTACAAATTCACGCCTCTTTAAATACAACACAACCATACTTCTTGAATTTAAAGGTATATCAAATTAAAAAACATCTTCTCCTCTGCACAAGTTAGCTCCAAAACAGACGAAGTGGAATAACAAGCTCCCATCAAAACTTTTAACATAAAAACACAAAGCTGAAAAATAAATAAACAACATTCTACAATTTTTCTACAATTTATCTACAATTTATCTACAATTTCTGCAATATAATGTATGTCATGTCTTCTTCTTCTTCTTCTTCTTCTTCTTCTTCTTCTTCTTCTTCTTCTTCTTCTTCGTCGTCGTCGTCGTCGTCGTCGTCGTCGAGTTTCAATATGAAATTCAGCCAAAACCAAGTCTAATCTTCACCAAAACCCCTCAAAATTGAGATATAAACTCCAAACCATATTCCCAATTATTTACAACAACACCTAATCCAAACAAATAATAATTTTTGAAAACCCAAATTAGAATTCAAAGCTTCAAAGCTTTTTAATGGCTGTCAATGGTGGAATTGCTGCTCTCTTTTCCTTTTCTCTTATATTACTGAAATTTGGGATTGCGAGATAGAGAGAGACGTAGAGAGAATTCTCAAATCTTTGCAACAACATTTAATCCAAACAAACAATGTCTTTTGAAAACCCAAATTCGAATTCAAAGCCTTGGCTATGGAAGAAATAATGGGATTTTGATACAGAAATCGTGGGCGTGGGAGGGTAACGTGGGTGAAGGTGTGGGAATTGGAGAGAGAAACGTGGGGGGAGTGGTATTAGAAGGAATATACGGTACCATTAAATTAGGAGTGTAATTAATATCCTTAAAAACTACTAATGGCATATAATTGGTAATTAGGTATACTAAATGTAATTATATCAAACCTTAAACATTGAGGGTATTATAGTTTCATATATGACATAGGAATGTAAAAATTCCCCATTTCTACTATAGAAACATTGCGGCCTTGTATACTTGCAGATTTGTACAAATAGCCACTTTTATGGAGTTATATTAGGAGTTGGTCACTTTTTCAAAATTAGACTAGTTAATCGGTCACGGGTTTTATTTAAAAAAATGATCATCTTATAAATTTGAGGCCAAAAAAGTGGACACCTGGTGTAAGTAACTCCCTTGGCTTTTGGACACTTAGAAAGAGTACTTCACTAAAGAACCTTATGGGGCTAAGAAAGATTTAGTAGGTGTTTGGACAATATTAGTTGAAGTTGAAAAAAGTATTTGAAAGTTAGAAGTTAAAGTTGTGTTTGAATATAAATTTGACTTGAAAAATAGAGTTGAAAATTTGTGAGTGAAAATCTTAATTTCACTAATACTATTCCTCAAACAAGTTTTTCAATCACTATTTACAAATACACTTATATATATTATTTGCATAGCCTAAGAGAACGAAAGTATTTCCCATTCTCGACATCTACTCGTAGAGAAGTAGATCTAGAGCTGTCAAAACGGGCTACTCCTGCCCAACCTAGCCCAAGCCTCGTGGGCTTTTAAATTTGATGAGCTAGGCCGGGCCGGGCCTTCAAATTTTTTAGAAAAAAATATTTCTCCAAATTTTTAAATATTTTTTCGTGATATAATCTCTTAATCATATGAACGACTTCTGTTTATTTAGAGTGTACAAGAATCTTGATATTTGACAAGAAATCTCGTAATTGAAATGTAAATTTTCTATATCTCCAGCTCTTCTTTTTTTAATGTTACATAAATATTTTTTTTAGTACTTTTCTTTCACTTTCCTTAGGTTAAGGAATTGCTTAAATAAGTTTATACGTTAAGGTTTTTTAATTTATGTTTAACATTATTTGTTGATTTCATCATTATATTCCATAAAAAATTTATAATTCATGAAATTATCTAGTGTTGTTAATTTTCTTTGGGTGTTAAAACTTGACCTTTTTCTATGATGAAGAGCAATTTAATAATTAATAATAATTAACGTAACCAAATTGATCATTGTCCAGTTAAAGTAATATTTTCTTTTGGAAAAAAAATTATTGACTTAAAACTTTCCTAGTTCGTTGTTAATTAAGCAAAAGAAAAACTAATCTCGCCACACTATATGCATATCAAAAATATAAATTCTAGTTGATATGGTAGGGTAGATGAGCAATCTAAGGTTGGAAAATGAGGATTATAGTTAATAATTTTTTAGTTTTTACTTTTTAAAAATATTTCAATTTGAATTTAATTAATTTTTGGCCCACGGGCCGGCCCAAGCCCAGCCTTGGTCAAGCCTCAAGGGCTAGAGGGCTGACTTGGGCCGGGCTTATAAGACTCAGTTTTAAATGGGCAACAAAAATCCCAACCCAGCCCTATGGATTCGTTATGGATTACGGAATCAATGCCAAAGCTAACGGAATTAATGCCAAAGCTAAAGATATCATATTGGAATACTCCAAATATAGCTATAATAGCCTCGTTTGTTCCGATATTTTTTGGTTGCTATAGAGAAGTGTTGTATAGAAGACATATATTATAACATAACATAAAAATCGGTTCCGAAAAAAGCTTGACTTTTATAGTGAATGATTGTTAGGTCTGACTGTCTTACAAACTCTAAACTGCCTATCAAAGGCTCGATACTACAGAAAATACTCGTCTTGCATAAAATATTGCTGCCCCATGTAAACATTCATAGAACTAGTTGGAATAAAGTCTATTCTAGAGGTGGCAAAATTCAATAAACCATAGATTAATTAGCTGATACAAATTCGCGTAAATTTAATAGATCGAAGGACAAAGGAAGATCGAGAGTTTAAACATATTAAAATTGCTTAACTAAGTTACTAGAAACCATAGTACATTGCGCAATAACTGAACATAAGAAAAGCCAAGAATCATGGAAGTTAGAGAACCGCTCAAGATTTATATGTTCTCTATCGCATATGCAAAAACAAAGCATGCATAAAGAATTTTTTCTATATCTCTATTGATTAAAACTGAGTATAAAGAATGTATTAACACTTGCTAAAACTTGCAGAAAACTGAACTATGAGAAAGTATAAAACATCCGGAGGGTAAATGCCGCATAATATTTTGGGGGAATATAGGATGGGGGATAAAAGAAAAGAAAAAAAAAATCTAAGAGAATCATAGTCTTCTGTTGAGAGATGGAGGAAATCAGACGTTGTATACGAGCTCCACGGTAGCCTGCTTCTCGTCCTCTTTCTTTGGATTGCGGTAAATGAAGAGCAACAGCAGCTGAATCAAACCTAATAGTGCTCCAATTCCATTTCCAGTCTACACAAATCACACCATCACAGCAAATCAGTATACAAATTCCAATTACAAAAAGGAATACTAACGATACGGTGTTTGATTGGGTATGGAATTTAAGAAAAAATTTCAGTAGGAAAATAGACTAACCAAGATGTAGGGGTCAAACTTGAGGAGAGCATAGCCGGCCCAGCAGATTCCATTGAGGAAGCATGCTACGGAAAGCCACGTAGGTAAGAATTCAGCGCTCTTTGTTCTGATTACCTTAAACTGTATTCAGCGAAAAACCAGAAAAATTAGCCAGAGTACGAGTAAAAAAAACCATACTACTAGTTTGATATAGTGTATGAAATTGATCACAGCAGAACTAGGTAGAACTTGTACATACCATGACTGATAAAGGAGCTCCATACATACAAATTCCAAAGATGGTACAGATTATTCCCACGATCATGGTTCTACTTGCGGTGGTGTGCAAGCCTAGCATGGATCCAACTACGATGGCGGCAAGGCCCACGATTTCTACGAACAACATGCCAACAATAATTTTCTGAGATTGAAAACAAAAAAGTGTCATGAAACCATATATATAAGAGCTTAATTTTATACATATTTTAAAGTATAAATTCCGAATTAACTCACCCGATTCTGTTTTCCGGCATAGCAGAAAAATATGGAAAGATAGCACAACTGCAAGAAGAGACCAACGCTGTTGATGGAGACAACAAGGGGGCTGTGGGGATGAACAAAAGGCATGCCGTAGAAAATCCACATCATACAGTTCATTGTAGAAGCTATGTATGGCCACGGGTGGAACTCCTCTACCGATTTGTTTTTGATGATTCGCCAAAATGTTGGTCTGATTACACAAGATTTTCAATTCAAATTAAATTGAACAAGAATAAAAAGGATAGAAACGACTTTTAGAGATTCAGAGTAACGCATTATAAACATAAATCTCTTTACAACAGCAGAAAAGAAGGATCAAGTGCCTAAAGTACATGTATTCATACGAAATAGATGGAACTTTAATTAAGCAAAGAGATAGAGAATGAAGATATCTTACATTGGCGAAGCAAAGAGGAAGAAAGATAAGATATTGCCTGCAAATTAGAAGAGGAGAACATTAGAGAAACTTTTATGAGCTTGAACCTTATAATTAATTTAATCAGGAAAACAAACACACACACACACACACAAAATCAAGCATGCATGCATGAGGCCATGATGCATGCATGCATGTATGTCAACAAACTGGATTCACAGGTCCTACGCCTAATCATCCAGATTCTTCCATCAGTTCTTAGATTATGTAGCAGAATACTACTTGTATACATGAAAATAATTGATTAGGTAGCACAATACAGTAATCAGAATATTACAGAAAGCATAAATTAAAACCACGGTTCAATACAATAAATCTGACAAAATCGCCGTTTCAGCATTCAGTTCATTCACTAATTCCAATCTATTAGGTAACAGAGAACAGCAACTAGAGAATAAATTCAAGCAGTTTCAATCAACTTAAGCGACAAACAACTCTAACAGAGAAGCTAGCTCTCAGTATACAAAAATCAAAATCTGCATTGTGAAAAAACAGAATAGAAGAGAGGATTAATTAAAGTGCGAACCAAGAATGCCGACGATAAAACGAATTTGATCTGCACTCATCGTCATCTTCGATTGCCTTTGATAAACAGAGCACGAACGAACAGAGGAATTAAGGAGAAACGAAGAGAGTAAAAGTGTGTGAGTTGAGGGAGGGAAGAAGTGCGTGTTGATTATATAGATATCAGAAAAATAGCAGTGTTTGAGTCGGACTGCGCCGCGAATAATCCAGTTTTTAAACTAATTTGGATTCTTCTCTTTCTCCTTTTTCGTTTCTTTCATCTACTACTCATCCTATTTTATCCACAACTTTGTTTAAAATTCACTCCTATTTACACGAGGTTTATTATTTGCAATTTTTTCTTTTGATTTATTTATTCCGAATTTTACTTATATCTATCTAGCGTATACACCGAATGATAATAGTTTAATTTTACCAAGTAAGAAATATGTACACAATTAGGTCAGTTATAAGATAATTTTTGATGAATTTCTATAATACTATACATTAAATATATCAGTGAACTAATAATATTGCAATGTTTAATATTGTCGTCTAAAGTTATTCATGCAACCAGTGCGGATAAACTCTTTGGCTTTTTTTCTGTATAAATAATATAATCTTATATGAAAAATGTTTTTACTTTCAACAGACTATCACGCAAAAAGAAGGGGCGGTGGGTGTTTCGTTCAGTTAGTTACAGTAGGTAATTACGTTATAGGTATCCCTTTTCAACTTATTTGCAAATAAGTACCCCTTTCCTTTCCTAATTCAAATTGGTTACTACATCAGCTACGTACGTACCCTGGCGAGCAAGAAATTAATAAGAAGATAAAACTTTCCTGAAAATCAGTAATCCTATTCTTTTTACTTACTAATATAACTCATAATATTATTACTTGTAGCCCAACTTTTGATAGACAAAGCAAGTTATCAGATACATATACTGGTGGAAGATAGCAGGTAACCGATATAATAATTGAGGCAATTTGATTCGGATACCCACGTGACACCGCTTCATCGATTTTTTTAGAAATATGTGTATTAATATTGTGAGGAAGTGGATAAATAGGAAGAAATTGTCTTTAAGATTCAACAAAATCAATTGACCAAAGATATTTCTTGTCTAGTTAGAAGTATGATAATTAAAGTTATTATTTCTATTATTCTATAAATTTCGACTCTGCTTATAAAAATTCCTATGTGCGCCCTTGCGGAGACCACAATTATTAAAAGATAGTATTTTGAGGTACCAAAAGAAGTGGCGATTTATATTAAGGCCTAGACAAAACTTATAACTCCCTTGACGTATCACAAAAAAATAGGGAATTCGGAGTATCAGAAAGTATGATAAGTGCCGTCGGCGAAAATTGAGACAGCATAAGTTATTGATGATGACCCGTATTTCCGTACCTCCTGGCTTTGCAAATTGCAAACCAACAACAACAACAATCCAGTAAAATCTTACTAGTGGGGTTTGGGAAGGGTAGTGTGTATGCAGACCTTACCCCTACCCCGAAGGAGTAGAGAGGCTGTTTCCGAAAGACCCTCGGCTCAAGAAGACAAAAAGATAAAAGAAGATAATATTAGTACCACCACAAAAATAATATTAAAGAAATATATATATATATATATATATATATATATATATATATGAAATCAAGAAGAATGATACAAAGCAAAAGCAAAAAATTGCAAACCAATGCCTCTTTAATTTCGTGTAATCATACTTTCACTTATTCAAACGCAAGCTTTCAAGCTAAAATTACAGCCCATGTTAATAATAAAAGGGAAACTACCGGTTATGTTCATTTATAAGTAGCTCACTATAAAAATTGGCCAATTTATAAAATATTACTAATATTAGCCAATTAGCTATTTGTAGCAAAAAAATCAAATTTTTGCTTTCTTTTGAGTGGGTATTATTAGAATAGATTTGGGACATCTTAAGGGAGTTTGAATCTCAGTTTTGGGATGATTTGGTGAAGTTTTGGGGTGGTTTGAATTGCAAATTCGAAGTAAAACTGAACATGAAAAAAAATTATATGTGTATCACATAGTGTATCATTTCTGTATCATATTTGTATCAATTGTGTATCACATTTATATCCATGTATATCTATGTGTGAGATACAAGCGTGATACATGTGTCGCAGAAGAATTTTTTGAACTCGATTTGATTACGAATTTTGATACAAAACCAGTCCAAATCACTTCCAATCTTTCTCAAATTTTATTTATTGACTTATTTATATGTTTTCAATGAATTTCAACTATACCCATTGAAAAAGTTCCTTTTTTTTGCTTAGATATTTGGAATATTGTATATATATTTTTTGTATTTCATCATCTTATTTGCTACCTCATTCATGAAATTTCCTTTCCGTCTTGCATCTAATGTCGCTAATCACGCTTAAAAATATGGAAAGTGATTTTTGCATGTGGTTCTTTGAGAGAAAGAACTTTATTTATTTGGTTTTTCAATTTTTTATATGTACTTGGCTAGTTTTGGTAAGTCTATAGGCCGTTTGGACATAAGAAATTTTTTCCTTTTTTTTCAAAAAAATCATTTTTTTTAAATCAGCGTTTGTTCATAAAATTTTCAATTTTCCACTTGAAGATGCATTTTGGAAATTTTTAAAAATTTGAAAAAACTCCAAAAACCTATTTTTTAAAATTTTCACTCAAATCACTCACAAAACTTCAAAACAACCGAAAATCATATTCATGTCCAAACACAACTCAAAATTTTGAATGCCATTTTCACTTAAAAATTTTCTTCGCCTTTATTTGGAATTTTACAATTCTTATGTCCAAACGCGAACTTAATACCATCATCGCACCTAGAAATGTATCTTAGAGCGCCGACAAGTAAAATATGCCATCCAACACTGAATAAATAAAAAAATTGTAAGGAATCTGGTTCGAGTATATCTATATCTATATCTATCTATATTATTATAAAAGCACAAATATAATGTTGGTTGACCAAAATAGCCCTAAGATTCATAAATTTATTGGTTATTTTGGTAAAACAAAATATAAATAGAGTTCTAATTAAGTAGTATCTCATAATTTTGGTACATGTAAAATATACTAAACCTCCTCATGTCTAATTAAAAATTATTCCTATTCATGATTACGTAGAAAAATTTAAAACATATTACGTTAAAATAGCATATTTTATTATCTATAAAAGAATTTTAGCAATATGGAAAAAAGATAAACCTCCTTAAAAGAAGATTCTTTCATGACCCTCACCTATTTGCGTAAAAATTGTGTGGGGTAGCCACTTTTTAAAGTGGTGTTTACTTTTTATCAAGCATTTTCAATGCTTAGCAATAATAGCCACTAGTCTATTAAAATTAATATGAAAAGACTGTGTTACCCTTTCTTCTATCTCTTTCATGTTAGGGAGAAGAACCGCCGAAGTCTATGATCTTGATTGTAGACTACCACATATCAGTAACTTACAGTAACTTTTGGCCATTTTATCAGCCATTCAAAGAAAAAAGTTTCCCGTGTTACAATTTTCTGCAACGGAAAAGTTTCCAAGGGTACAACTTAGACTTGTTTTCAAGGCTTTAACAATTTGTGTGTTGGAGTTTTATGGTATGCTCTGCATTTTATAATTTCTTTTTTTTTCATCGTGGAGATTGAGGTTGTCGTCGTCGGAGAATGGATGTGGCGTTCGTTGTTAGCAACTGTTCAGAGGACCCTTTTTATCCAAGAAAAATATTTACATAGTTGAATCACTAAGTAACTATACATGTGGGGAATTTAAGAAATGTTCAGACATAGAGTTCCTTGTTGGATCGTCTAGCAAAAACCTTTGCCAGAATCCTTTCTCTATTAAACTCCTCCTCTTTATCAGTAATGTTTGGTTTTCTGCTACGTTATGGATCCTGAACTTACAGTTACAAGTTCAAAAGTTAAGGACACTTGGTCCTGAACTTCGAGTTCCAAGTTCAAAAGTTAAGGACACTTGGTCCTGAACTTAGAATTACAAGTTCAAAAGTTAAGGACACTTGGTCCTGAACTTAGACTAACAAGCTCAAAAGTTAAGGACAATAGGTCCTGAACTTACAGTTACAAGTTCAAAAGTTAAGGACAATAGGTCCTGAAGTCCTGAACTTAGACTAACAAGCTCAAAAGTTAAGGACAATAGGTCTTGAACTTAGGCTAAGAAGCCCAAAAGTTAAGGACAACAGATTCTGAACTAAGACTAACAAGCTCAAAAGTTAAGGACAATAGGTCCTGAACTTAGACTAACAAGCTCAAAAGTTAAGGACACTTGGTCCTGAACTTACAGTTACAAGTTCAAAAGTTAAGGACACTTGGTCCTGAACTTAGACTAACAAGCTCAAAAGTTAAGGACAATACGTCCTGAACTTAGACTTACAAGTTCAAAAGTTAAGGACAAGTAGTCCTTAACTTAGAGTTACAAGCACATAACTTAAGGACAAGTGGTCCTGAGCTTCGAGTTCCAAGTTCAAAAGTTAAGGACATGTAGTCCTGAAGTCCTGAACTTAGAGTTGCAAGTTCAAAAGTTAAGGACCCTTGGTCCTGAACTTTTATGAGCAGAAGGGTATTTTCGTCCGGGGAGGTAAAGTTTATTAAAGCAGTGGCTAAAGACTAAAGACATTTTAAACAATGGCTTAAAAGTAAATACATGTGTTATTAGTGGCTAACCGTGCACTCCCTCCCCCCTATTTGCTCATCAATTTTGATTCCTGCCTTACTGAATTTTATCTATTTGTTGGGTGGGTCCTATTCAAGAAGTCCGGTTGGTAATTATATGACTGTAAGTATGAGTTTTATTCCACTCTCAGTTATAAGGTAAGCAAATTTATTCACATGATATTATGCCTATAATAAGTTGGATCGGAGTATAGCATATTATGAAACACACATAATAATTTTTCAATAAAGAAGAGACTCAAAAGAATATAGAGGTTAGCGAATTGCTATATATAATCAAAACTAATATTTATAATTCATTATTTTTAATGAAAATAATGCTATATAACTTTTTAGTATAAAAAGGCAAAGGTATTTTATGTATTCA